CTTACTAAAACTCCGCCCAGGCTCGAGGCTTGTCTTCCAGCCCGGCCTGGCTACGGGTCCCTGTTATAGGCCTGGTTCCTCATGAGTTACGCAGCCAACTACTTATTTATCCCGTTTATGGGTTGGTCCCGTTTATGGGCTAATCCTGTAATTAGGCTGATCCCGTTTATGGGCTAATCCTGTAATTAGGTTGATCCCGTTTATGGGCTAATCCTGTAATTAGGTTGATTCCATTTATGGGCTGGACTACGCAAATGGGCCATGGGCTGAATCCATGGTACCATCACGAGCCCCCCTACTCTTCAAAATTAGCAGAGCTGAATTTTGAGGAGTAGATTAGATGTGATCCATTATTTCCAGATCTCAAATCTTTGAGGCGGCTATAGCTTTGCCTAGTAATCATTACGCTAGAATAGGCTTGCAGTCAGGGCTCAATCTCCAACCCGCCTTTCGCCTTTTCCACAACTTCGAAGCGGTCCTCACCCTTGAACCCTAATTCTTGGCCGTCTAAAATCTGACTTTATTTCGCATTAACCTTTTCACGCCCATTTCCTTTGCGCAGACGCTCTGTACGCCATTGACGGGTTTTAAGTCTTCGAAGAATCTTCTCCAATTCTTCCTCGTTTTCCTTCATGTCAGTTCTCATGTCTTCTTCAAACTCCGTTCCCGTTCATCAAGTTTTCCCAGATGGTGAAAACGCTCCCATTTGGCCCAAGATCCCCGTTGATGAAGACGGGGTAGAGACTCGTTTTTTCCTTTCTTCTGAGCATGTGCGGAAGATTTCGGCTGTGGCGCTTTCCGATTCGGAATTCAACAAAGCTTTGGCCCTCGCGGGTCCAAGCGTAGTCTGCTCTCACCCTTTGCCGGGCCAGAACATCGTTGATTCCCCCACTCCTCTTCATTTCGGCGTTCATATTTCAAGTCTCTAAGTAGGCCTCAGGTTCCCCTTACATGGTGCCTATCTTGGTGTCCTGGGTTACTATGGGGTAATTCCGGGTCAATTCACCCCTACTACCCACATGTTCATTGCCGGGTTTATTGCCCGGTGTATGCACTTGCGAATTCATGCCAACATCAGTCTCTTTCTTCATTTCTTTCATTCTGTAAGGCCCGGTGGCTCCAAATCCCCTGGATTTCTGTCCATTTCTCAGCGGGCTGGTCATCGTTTATTTGAAGCCAAGTCCTATCCTGATTCCTTCAAGAGGTGGAGGCAGAAATGGGTTTGGGTCACCCCTGTGGATGGAAAGCTTTCTTTCCCAAATAAATGGGGAGAATTAATCCGGAAATGGTCAATGCCCTTTTTGGGGGAAGGCAATACTTTGGCCACTGAAAAGATTGCGGACGGAGCGTCGTTCTGATGGGGCATTATGTAGGTGAGGACAAGATTATGATTCTAACCTATCAATCAGGTTGAATCATACTGGATTCGGGTTTCATTGCCTTTCTTTCTTCCTGTTTATAATTGTCTTGATTTCTGATAATGCTTCTTGACTCCTGTTGTAGCGGGCGACAAGATGGCTTCGCGACTGGAACGTCTTGCTGCTAAGGCCAAAGTCATTCCCGGGAGCCCAACGCCTGGTAGGAAGATCTTCACCCGGGGGCTGTCAATGCTTCCTTAGAAAAACTGGGGGAATCTTCTTCCGGAGATGGTATTGCCCAGCTGCCCACGTCGGCCGTTGACCCCCAGTCCAGAAAGGCTGGGAAGAGGCCGGCACGCCAATCCATCTCCGGGCCCCAATAGAGGGTGAAAGTGGCCTTGAAGTCTCCTGAAGAGGTGGTTGATTTGGATTCTGATTCAGACGCTCAGTCTCAGGATGGTGGCAATCAGGGGAAATCCTCGGCGCCAAATCATTTCATCCGATTGTGCATGAAATCTGACTCTGCGTCTGTCTTCAATCACACTGTGAACCTTGTCTCCCTGGGCTTGGCGATTACGCCCCCTGTTGATGCCGCGGAAATGAAAGAAATGCCAGCTTTGGCTAACCTGCGTCGAGGCATTCGTTCCATCACAGAGGTATGCCCTTGGTTTTCATATCACCACACGTATTATATGTCATTTAACACTCCCGATGTTCACCTGTTTTCCAGGCTCTCGTTCGGGCTTCCTCAAGCTTTCATCAACTCGAGACAGACCACAGTGATTCTCAGGCCATTTTGTTGGGACTGAAGGAGAAAGTGGCCAAGTTGGAACGGCGACTAGGGGCGTCTGTGCAGCGGGGAGACAATTTGTAGAAGAGACTGGACGACGTGGAGGCCTCACACTGGGTGGTGGAGGAGGAGTTGAGGTAGAAGGCCCTGGATGCAGTCCAAATTTATAAAGACAGTCCGGATTTTCGTTCTGAGCTGGAAAAACTGATTCAAGATCGCAGAGCTCAGATTGCTGATGAATGGCTCCAATCTCCTGATGGCGAGGCTAGGTTGGACGAGGAAGGGGCCCTCTGTTTTAACATTGGTCAGTACGGGATGGAGAAGTCCCTATATGATCTTTTGCAGAAGAAGGATCCCACTTTCTCCGCCCGAGCCTGGGGTTTGCCTGAGCTGATGAAGAATCCTGAAGCCCCCCTGGAGACTGCGGGCACTGTAGTCGAGACCCCGGTCCTGGCGGTTCTTGCTCCTGAGATTCCTGCCCCTGAAACTTCTCCTCTTGAGTCTGGTAATTGACTTCCCTGAACTTGTCCCAATTAAACACTCATTTTCCGGGCCTGTGTGCCTGTATCGTTTTCCACCCTCGGGGTGGCTTGTAACAAACACTTACTCTTCTGTGTTTTACCTTTTGTATGTTTGATGCAATTATTGTTTATCACATCTTGCTGTTCCGGGGTCGGTTGATTTGTTCTGTCCAACCTCCCTTAGGCTTGACCCGCATCACTCAGCCCTGATTCTGGGGCTGGTTTCCTTCTTGATTAATCGTCTGGGAATCTGACCTTCGTTCTTGCATTTGCATGAATTTGGATCTTGGTTCGACCTCAAGGTCTGGCCTTCGTTACCCAGTAGGTAAGTATGTTTTCATCACTTTTGTCCTTGTAGTTCAGCCCTGATTTCCCGGTCAGGGTCGCTTTCCTTGGGTCTTAATTTCTGAACCGTTTTGGAGAGCTTTACCAATTATAACCCTAAGTTCTTATTCTCTGAACCGTAATAGGGTGGGTTTTTCATCTTAGGTTATTTGAGCCTTAAGACGAACCACTTGAATTGGCGAGGCATGATAGCCCCTCCGGTGCAAAGTCCATTCCCTAAATTCATCCTTAGCCTGTTGTAAATCAGCCTTGGCCTTGAAAAAGGCCTTCTTTTTCCTGTTTGAGGAAATTTGATTTCTATTTATAAGGCTGTCTGATCTTGAAAAAGATCTTGTGTCCCTACTCTCGTCTTTTAGTAAGACTATGTTGTTTGAGCTGCGGAAATTGGATGAGGAATTTAGACCTCGGCTTTTCTGCGAGTACCAAAATTAGGCGTGATAGCCTTTAGGCGTGATAGCCTCTAGGCGTGATAGCCTCTAGACGTGATAGCCTCTAGGCGTGATAGCCTTTTTTTGGCAGTTAATAAACCTTCACAATTTTACAAGGACTTTGGGTGAAAGAAAACAAACTTTATTGAGTAATTCTTCAAATTCGAGATTACAAACCTACTGGTAGAATTTCATCAAGTGCTCTGAATTCCACACTTTTTCGACTACTTTTCCCTTAGGAGTGCACAGCTTGTAAGTCCCAGGTACGATGATACCTTTGATTATGTAAGGTCCTTCCCAGTTCTTGGCAAATTTTCCACCTTCCAAGGGTTGGCTGGCAGACCTCCTTCGCAGGACAAAGTCCCCAACTTGAAATAGTCTAGGTCCGACCCTTGCATCACGGTATTCTTTGACTTGCCTCCTATAGTTTTCAGCTCTGATGAACGCATTATCCCTTTTTTCTTCGATTAAGTGCAATTCTGCCCTGAGCATGTCCTCATTGTTCTGAGGATCATAATCTTCAACCCTTTTACTTGGGACTAAAGTTTCCAATGGTGCTCGGGCTTCAAAGCCATAGGTTAGGGCAAAGGGAGTCTCACCAGTAGCCTTTCTTGGAGTAGTTCGGTATGCCCAAAGTATGTTGTTGAGTTCGTTTACCCAAGTTGTTCCCATGGATTCCAGCTTTCTTTTGAGACCATTAACAATGGTCCTGTTAGCATTCTCCATTTGCCCGTTACATTGGGGGTAGGCGACAGATGCCCTGTTGGCCTCAACTGTGACACCGCTCCCGAAGGTCCTTGAAAATTTGATTTAAAATTCAAAGTTTATGTATTGGATTTCTGATTCCCAAACATTTGTTAAACGATTAATGTTTTACGTAATTAATGACCGATTATTATACTGTTCGAACTCGTATATTAGTATCGGGCTTGCGAATACTCATTTTGGGCCCAACCTGCTAAAAATAGCAAGTATTCGAGAATGGCGTTCTGGATCCACTCGGGGGTGACCCACACGGCTAGTAGCCCAATAATATGTATGACAAATGTCAAATAAGTGATAGGATGATTAAAGAAGAATACAAATCGCCTATAACCCCACCTTTGGCCTTATTGAGCTAAATAATGGGAGTAGGATTTTCCTTCTATAATATCTATCAAGTAAATTATTGGGATGAGCCTACACATATTGGAGATCAATAATGTGATTTGAGAAGTTGACTTGTTCTAAATAAATTAGGATGAGTACAAAAAGACATCTTTTGACAAAGATAAAACAACAGGACCCATTTTCCCCATTTTTGGAAGTATTGGTAGATAATTTGGATCCCAAAATGATTGGGATCAATTGGGAACCACTCCACATGATATTAGTACCTGCAAGACAAATAAAAATGGGTTAGGAGACTTACCTTGGCCGGCCATTATGGATAAGAGCTGCACATGACTTGATAAGAATCAAAGTTTGGGGCCACCACTCTTATTTTCGCACAAATTGGTGTGCTGTTTGTCTCCTCTCATTATAGGAGCTATCCTCAACCAAATAACGTGTATGAGGTGTCCTTGGATAGCTTTTGAAGTCTATTTTTATAATTGAGTGGTCTCAGTTCGAGAGGAGAGAGTAATCATCCAAAAATCGATCTGGAACGAGCAGTGGTCTGTGAACTCGAGCTGTGAGAGTGCTGAGACTGTTTGGTTGATATCTCGAGTTTTACCAATCCAATTAAGGCGTGTGAGATACCAAAAGAAAGCTCTCAAGACGAGGAATCCGTGAAGGTCTGGTTTGAATCAATCGGAGTAGAGGAAGGCTTCCAAATCGTCCGAGCAGAACGCGACCTCGCAGGGACGGATTTACTCTTCTAAGTGAGTTTTTAATCCCAAAACCTTTCCATTCATTTTCCAAATGATATGAACGATTGGTGGAACTATTGTACACTAATAAAAGTGCATAATATGTCCCCATAAAGTTATTTTATTGATGTAAAGGTTAGATACTAATCTAGAGCAAATCTTGGAAAACTAGGAAACGAGTTAACCGGAAAACACCCGTTCTAGGGGCTGTTTTCGTATCAACGATTAAGGGTTGAACTAGCACTTGGAGGAGGCTGTTTAACACTCATATTTGAGCAAGGAATCGGTTCCAAATCCACCTTGACCAAAGCTTTGACCATTGGACCAAGAAGGGAAAGTTTAAAGCTCAATTGAGGTGAGGATTGACATCTAATTGCTTACAACTTGTAGGTTAAGCATGAGATTACCTAAATGCTTAAATCATTATTTTTCATGGATTATGATGATTATATATTGCTGAAATATTGATATAGTTGCCAAAGAATGAAATTTGAAATGATTTGAGAACGTATGGATAATATGAGATTAAATGAGTATCAATGAACTATTTTTGCGAAATAGGTATTTTGCTCATGTACGAATTATTTGGATACATAAATGAATATTTGTGTATTGAGATTGAATACTTAAGTTGCTGCTACATAATTATAATTATGTAGAGTATTACAAGTAAAGAGGATAGTGGTATGATAACAATAATCTTAATAGTATTGAAATACTAGTTAGTGATTATTGGAACTTGTTGATTTAATTGATCCTAGGGATTGGATTGTATGAAAGGTACTTGAATATAGTTCAAGTGTATCTAATAACTTAGTATGGAACTAAGGTTAAGTTATGGGAAGTCTTTAAGGATGACCCATGGTAGTTTAATGATATGTCAATTCTAGGCATAGGGTTGCTTGAGAATTGGGCCTTAATGCATGGTGATGTGGTAGAGCCGAGCTCTAGAATGCATGTAAGGTGTAGACTTGTAGTCTATGTATTGTATAGCTAGAGCCGAGCTCTAGGACTTGCGTGGTGATGTGGTAGAGCCGAGCTCTAGAACGCAAGGTAAGGAAATTGACCCGAGGTATATGAATTGTATGGTGATGTGGTAGAGCCGAGCTCTAGAATACAATGTCATGTACTAGGGTCGGACTCTAGGAGTTGTCGTGGCTTATAGCCACGGGGTTGGGAATGGTGATTTCCAAATGAAAACGGGCCCACGGGCCGACTACTTGACTTTTATATAAAGTAAGTATATATTTAAACGGGGTAACTTAGGGTTACAACCATGATGTACTATCACCCTATTTGAGGGTCTTGTGTTTGAAATACTTGTTGTATATCTATTAGATGCCTGCCACACCAGTACTTTATAGCCGTATAGAGTACTGACCCCTTCGGGGGCGTCCCACCACCATTTCAGGTTGAGGCTAGAGCTTGCTTCCTGTGCTCGTTGCCCGAGTGATTTCCCCGGAGAGAAGACTTGGTTCGTGCTTCCTCCATTCTGTTTTAGAACATTAATAAACATGCTCATGGATATTTTACTTTAGAGCCTGCGTGCTCATGTTTGCCCTGTGTGGCCCTTTTGTTTTAAACAATGTTTTCCGCTGCGTATTGAATTGCTTATTATGTATGTTTATGGATGACTTATGTGTGAATGATATTCATGACGCCTTGTATAATATGAATGTGTTGGACTGCGGTTGACTATTCGTATTGTACGGCGGGTTGTTGACGTGTCCGGAGAGGTCCGGGGCGTGACAATTAAGTTGGTATCAGAGCCTTAGTCCATAAACTTCATAATGAAGTCTCAAAATTCTCTTTTTGAAAAGATTTTGAAAACCATGAGCATAGAAGTTTTGTACTTGGAGAGCTTTTGGTACTTGGGTTGCAAGGTCTCTAATTGTTAAGATGGTACCCTTAGCAATTGGTATGGCGGCGACTCAAGCCAAAATGTGTCTTAAGTACCTATCCGTCAATTGACATTTGATATGAGTTTAACGACTCTTTCCAAATTTCTTTCAGAAATGGACCGTGGTGGCAGGATTACTAGGAGAAACCCAACTGGCCGTGTACCAGTGGAGACTGGACAGGGCAGTCGAAGGACCTCTAGGGCATCTAGAGGAGCTGGCCGTGGAGGCCGATCGCAGACCGTGAGTGACGGTCATGTCGACACAGAGAGTGAAACCTACTGGTCCTATGAGGACTCGACTTACCAACCGGAAACCGAGCCGGTCGAGACCCCTTATGAAGGGGATGATGACGATGTAAGTGATGAGGAGGAAAATGGCTCCTTGGCACGGATTGAGGCGCTACTCCAACAGTATCACCGTGAGCGTGAAAAGAGGAGGCAACGCCGAAGACGCCGAGCGGGGCAACCTTCGGGCATGGCTTCAAGAGGAGGAAGTCATGGTGCATCTAGAGTCCATGTGGAACCACATGGAGGCCAAAATGATGGAGGTCCAACCATAAGGATCTCCAAATTTATCAAAGAAGCAAGGGACTTGGGGTGCAAACCCTTTGATGGGGCAGGGGACATTTCAGTTGCAGCACAATGGATCAAGAGGCTAAATGAAGCAGCCCTTGACATGCAAATCGCGCCGAATCTCAAACTGAGAATTGCGGTAAGATTGCTCGAGGGGATGGCATCCAAGTGGTGGGATGGAACCAAGAGCAAGTACGGTGAGACCGTCGTTTGGGAGGACTTCCAACGGGAGTTCTTTGCCCAATATTATTCTGATTTTGAAGTAAACAAGAAGGTGAGGGAATACACCCTCCTAACCCAAGGGGGTAACATGACAGTGAAGGAACTTGAGTACAAGTTCCGGGATCTCGCCGACTACATACCGGAGTATGCTTGTGACGAGAACCGAATGGTAAACCACTTTTGGGATGCTCTTGACTTGGAGATACGTGATAGGGCAACACAATTGCCTAATATGACTTTCGCCCAAGTGGTTGACCAAGCGTTGAAAGGAGAGAAACAATGGGAAGAAAGGAAGAAGAAAGACGCCGAAGAGGCGAAAAAGAGAAAGTGGGAGAGTCATGGCTCTCAAGGTTCCAACAAGAAGGGGAATCATGGGGGAGGACCTTTCCGAGCACCACCGCCACCATCTAGGGGGAACCAAGGCCCGAGTGGGCAAGGCTCGAGGTCACAAGCCTCAGTGGTAACTCGTTGCAACAATTGCAAGAAACACCACTCCGGTAAATGTCGTGACCCCCCTAGATGTTTCCAATGTGGGGATGCCGGACACTTGAAGGCGCATTGCCCCCAGTTGGGTGGGGCAAGGACATCAGGACCAAGTAGCGGGGCTGCGGGAAGTAGAAACCAAGCCGGGGGCTCCCAAGTAACCAGGGGGCAAGGGGGAGCAAGCGCGAGTAACGCGCCGTCCGTGAATCAAGGAAGGACGCAAGCTAGAGTCTACGCAATGACCGAGGCCGATGCTCGGGCTAATCCCGACTCCATCGCTGGTAATACATTTATTTTGGGCACTTTTAGGCTTACTTAGATCATGTACGTCGTTGGGATTGAGTGCGGGCCACCCCGGGGCCAAACCGGGTGAGTTAGGCCAAATCAGGCTGGAAACAGCCACTGCCGGCCAGGCACGCCTGCAGGCACGCCGTGCGTGGCACCGTGCCTGGGAGGCAGTGGCCTCGCTAAGGAGTTCCGGCCAGGCACGGCTGCAGGCACGCCGTGCGTGGCACCGTGCCTGGGAGGCAGTGGCCTCCTCGAGGAAATTCGGCCAGGCACGGTCGCAGGCACGCCGTGCGTGGCACCGTGCCTGGGAGGCAGTAGCGCCTAGGGCTTTTTCCCAAGCCAGGCACGATCGTGCCTACCCCAGGCACGCCGTGCCTGGCACCCAGATGGCCGAGGATAGATTTTTCGCACCGTTTTGCGACGTTAAGACCCGTTCTTGATCCCAAACACATGTGTGAACATAATAAACCTCTCTAAATGTGTAAGAATGGTAGGAAAGGTATCTTACATGACTTATAAATGTAGGAACACTAAAGATTAATGGGAAGGATGCGCGAATCCTTATCGATACCGGGGCGCAACGTTCATTTGTGAATGAAGCGTTCGCCAAGAGGTTGGGAGTGCAATCCGCACCATTGATGCAAACCTTAGTGGTGTCAACACCACTAGGGGATGACGTGGAAAGAACTTGTTACTATCCATCTTGTGGGGTGGAGGTTAATGGTCAAACCTTGACGTGTGACTTCGTATCGCTGAGCATGATGGAATTCGATGCAATCCTAGGGATGGATTGGCTAGAAAGGAACCATGCTAGGGTAGATTGCTACACGAAGGTTCTTGAACTCGAAGGCAATGATGGGGAGACCCTACGCTTCGAGGGCGATCGAGGGAGATCAAATAGCTGCATCATATCCGCCGTGAGAGCGAGAAGTATGATGAGAAAGGGATGCCACGCATATCTAGCATACGTGGTTGACAAAACCAAAGAAGAAACGAACATCGATGATGTGAGGGTGGTTTGTAAGTATCCGGATGTCTTCCCTAAAGACTTACCGGGGCTTCCACCTGATAGGGAGATTGAATTTGTGATCGAGGTTGAGCCCGACACCAAACCAATCTCCATACCGCCATACCGTATGGCACCCGCTGAACTTAACGAGTTGAAAACCCAATTGCAAGAGCTTTTGGATAATGGTTTCATTAGACCCAGCCACTCCCCGTGGGGAGCACCAGTTCTTTTTGTGAAAAAGAAAGATGGGACACTCCGAATGTGCATTGACTATCGTCAACTGAACAAGGTCACAATCAAGAATAGGTATCCGTTGCCTAGGATTGATGACTTGTTTGATCAACTACGAGGAGCAACCGTGTTTTCGAAGATTGACTTGAGATCGGGGTACCATCAATTGAAGATTAAGGAAGACGACATACCAAAGAGTGCTTTCCGCACAAGGTATGGGCATTTTGAGTTCCTTGTTATGTCGTTTGGGTTAATGATAACCGCTTTCGCGGCGTTGTAGTAAAACGGAGTCTAACCTTTCGGTTTTTCCCCGAGTATCGTGTCTCTCGAGGAATGGCGGAGGAGCTTCTTGATTTCAAGTCCAGTCACAGGTTATCGCAAATTATTGGAAGCTTTCCAAATTAAAACTTTTGATTGATTTTCTAAACTACTTTTTGGAAAAGAAAGTAAATTAAATTGTGCAAATACTAATGATGGCTCAAAAATAGACTAAAGGAAAAAATATAATATTGAACTTAAATGGATTGATGCAAATAAGGGCAATGAATTGAGTAATTAGAAATGGATATATTCTTGGACCTAGTAATTAGGGAAATTAAAACTAAAATTGGACTAATAATTTCTTTCCTCATAGACAAGAATAGAAACTATTTTCATTAATTTATCCTATTTCTAGGTGTCATTAATGTGTTCAAAATGGTTGGCTTGAATTAAATTCTAACCTCATAGACAAGGTAGAAATAATTCTCCAATATTTTAATTAATAAAAATAGCCAAATTCATTAACTAGTTAAACTCATTATTTAAGCAATTGAATTTATCTCTCATAGACAAGATGTAAATCCCTTTCATTAAATTATCCTATTTCTAGGCCTTATTAATGTGCTTGAATATGGTTGGCTTAAATTATTTTCTAATCTCATAGACAAGTTAGAAATAATTTTCCAAGAATTTAATTAATGAATATGGCTAACAATTATTAATTACTATTTCATCATTTCAAACAACTAGTCCAAATTATGAATTTTAATCCCTAATTTTCGGTCAACAAGTCAATCCATATTCCTTTAGTCAATTCATGCCCAAAACAAATTTAGCTAATAAAGATCATTTTAACAACTAACAATATAATGAATATATTCAACATTAACAAGGAATTAAACATGGATGATAGCAAAACTAATATTCTGCCAAAATAAACTTGTAGAACTAAACTATCACCTTCTGGAATTTTTCCCGAATTTTATAACCTAAAATCCAATTTTAACAACTAATTGATAACTTTCCCAATTTTAACTAGAAAATACAAAAAGCAACTAAAAATATGCTAACTTCGTTATAAATTTTATTTTTAGCTACTGGGAGGTATATAACTGTGAATAAACTGTAATCAGGTCCGAACTAATTTTTTTTCCTTTTTTAGTATTTATTTTGATTTAAGCAATAATATAAGGTAATTACCGAAATTAATAAAAAATACTCTAAATTCGTACCAAATTTTATATTAACTACTAGTAATGATATTTAAGTTAACAAAACTGTAAATAGGGCCGAACTCATTTTTTTCTTTTTTTCTAGTATTAATTCTAAATTATGAACTAATATCAAATAATTACCAAAATTAATTAAAAATTACTTCTGGTTCGTGAAAAATTAATTTTTTCAGATAAATAACTACCTTGAGGCTATTGAACAACTATATAATTAATTGGAATGAATTCAACAACAATAACTATTTTATTTAATTTTTGGAAGGAAATGCGAAATACTTGAAAAATAATCTGGAAATTTTCGAAGAACAGATCGAAGAAACAAAGCACAGATTCAGATTCTACACATTGAGAAGATGAAAATACATATAAAGAACTTACAATTTGGAGCTAAAATGAAGAAGATATGAAGATTTGAAGTTTCTCTCTCTCTAAACCCTTTGGAGCTCGAAAATGGAGGAAGAAAGAAGGTGTTTTGAACTGATTTAGGGTTGGAAGAGGTGTGTTTGGGTTGAGGAAAAAGCCTGGTTTTTATAGCAGAAAAAATCCCGAAGGCGCCCAAGCAGGCGGCCGCCTTCCGTCGGCATCTGGCCGCCTGCCGTCTTCTCACCGGCAATTCATCGTGGGCCGGTCTCCGTCAGCCGTAGGCGGCCACAGAGGGCGGCCGCCTTCCACCAAAACTGGCCGCCTACCGTCTTTTCGTCGGCAAATCGGATCGCAGCGGGTCCCGGCGGATCCCGGCCGCCGCAGGCGGTCCAGCAGGCGGCCGCCTGCCGTTCCTGTCTGGCCGCCTGCCGTCAAATCCCACCGGCCGGCGGTTGCGTCGTCGTCTTCTGCCGCAGGCGGTCACCGTAGGCGGCCGCCTTCCGTCCAGTGTCGGCGGCCTACGGTCTTTTCCGAATCCGGTCAAAGTCAAAGTTTGACTTTCCAAAAATACTGTAGGCGGCCGCGAAGGCCTTCATTTTGGCCGCCTGCCCGGCCGCCTGTGAGATTATTTGTCCGGCTTGTTCCTTATTTTGTGCTCTTCAATATTTTCTTCTGGACCACCTTGAAATAATGTTTCCTTCTTTCGGTATGATATCATTTGTTGCTCAAATTGGCTCATTTTGTGCTCAATTGACCCGAAATTCCGACAAACATACGATGAATGTGGTTTTCACCTGATTTCATGAAACTTGAACCAAAATATCTAAAACATGCCTTTTCTTTCTATTTTCAATCAAAAATCGCTTAAATTTGATAAGAAAAATAAGTACAAAAATGGACTTATCAATCTCCTCACACTTAAGCGTTGCTTGTCCTCAAGCGACGAATTAGTTGTAAACACACTCAAAAGGTAAAGCCTAACTGTATTACAATCTAATTGCTATTTTAAAGAAGTAGAAACAAAAAACCTCATCTTTTATTTTCAATTTTTAAACATTTTAGAAAAATCACCCAAAATACAAGAATTTAAAATTAGTATTACTTAAGAAAAACTATTTATTATGTTAAACCACCAATCAATTCCTTATCCCAAGGTTTTCATTATTTTAATTTGGACATTCATCTTGTTCACCATTTTTTTTTTTGTTTTTTTTTGCTCTTTTTCACTCTTGTTGGCGGTGTTATCCCATGGTAAATGCATATTTCATTCTCACAGACTGTGATTAACGAATGAAACAGAGCCCCTTTTCGGAGATGGAATTGTCCTATAACAATGAGTTTTGAAGAGGTTTATTAGTAGTAACATGTTTTTTTTTTTTAATGAATAAAATGAATGTCCAATTAAAACAAATTCGGACCTTTACATTCGCAACCAAAAACCCATAACAATTTTAAGTTTTCAAAAATAATAATAAAAGTAAATTCTTATAATAAGGGTGATTATCTAAAGTATTTTATGATTTGATAACAAATTGAGAAATTAATGTTTCATATCAAAAATAGTAAAAAGATTGTTCTAAAACAAGGTTTTGACTTTTGAGTGTAAAACGCAACCTCCTCACACTTGAGCTGGACCTCGCCCTCGAGGTCTTCTTTTGAGGCACAAAATTGGGAAATAAAGGCACATTTTTTTTTTTTGGTTCTTTCCTCACACTTGAGTTTTGAAAAGATTTTGTGAAGAGGAATAATGAAACAGGAGTAAAATGGTTTTTTTTTTTAAATCCTTACATCATCCATAGTCAGTTTGTAAGAGCATTCAAGTCAAAAGAGCAGCGCAATGTCCAACCTGAACAAACAAACAAACACAATAAAAAAAATGTCAAGGAAGAAGCAAAACTAAGCATCGCCTGCGTAATCCCGAGGGCCATAGTGTGGCCTAAGCCAGTCTCTCATCTCATCAATATCTAGCCTCTGGGTCTCCAACTCCTCCTGCATATCCCGGGTGGCTCTCTCCTGAGCCAATCGAAAGTCTCTGAACTCTCCCAGGGTCGTCGCATGCGCATCTCGCATCTCTTGGAATCCTCTCTCCTGTGCATCTCGTATCTCAAAAACTGAAGTCTGGAGACTCCGCATCCCATCCATCATCGCTCTCCAATCTGCGGCGCTAGGCATGTCTGAAAAGGGCTCGCTAGATCCCTCATGTCCTGAGGGTCGAGAAGAACTACCCTGCTGGGTCGGCTGCTCAATACCTGGGAGCTCCTGAGTATTCCGCCTCTTCTTGATCCTCATGTTGGTAAAGGATGAGGATCGAAGAACGCGGATGCTATCCTGTAAGTGCAGTAGCCCTGGAATGTCTAGATCTGGGTAGAATGATCTAAAGAGAGTAGTGATGAAAGGCCCTGCCTGGATAGTGCGCCGCACAGTCTTCCCCTGGCTCCGGAAGAAACGAGCCATAAGGACAGCCATATTCACCGGGATGCGGTGAATCAAACTCCAAAAGAATAGTATGTCCTTTTTGGACAACCTGTTTGTGTTGTTAGGTCGTCCAAAAAAACCACAAGAAAGTACGAACGAGAGTATGTACCAGTGAGTCTCCCTCCATTTGTTCGAATGGGGGTGCATCCGGAGAAATGATCTGGTGTCTGTGGAGTGTCTGTGCCAGAACTCATCAATGTCAAATGCCTCGGGTAAGCGGGTCGGAAGAGCACGGAACTCCTCAGTCTGTGTGTATGCTGGGGTATAGAGCCCCATCCTCCATCCGAGCTCAGCCACAGTGATGGAGTGCTCCATGCCTAGAATAGTAAACCTCATCCGAGACTCTGACCCAATAACAGCACCCTCCTGCACAGCCTGTCCGTAATGAGTGAACTGAACGGAGCACAGAAACTCCATCGTCAATGGAAGGCTGGCCCTCTCCTGAACGAATAGAATCCTCCGCCATAAAGAGTCTCCTAGCAGGGCATCAATGTCATCCCAGTACCCCCATTCCTCTAGCATCGTCGGGTCCAGGATCATGGGAGGAAGGAGTGTGCGGTATTGCCCCCATGCCTGGAAGCGTCTGCGATCAGCAATAGTAGCAAAGGGGATATCAGGCTGTGGCGGCGGGTCTTCCCGTCCTAGTGGTGGCTCCTCAAAAATGGGATCGTCACGTCTTCCTCCAGACATCTGCAAGAAATAAACAAAGTAAAATATTTTTGGGTTAGTTTTTTTTTTTTTTTTTTTTTTTTTTTTGGTTGGGTTGCCTCCCAATGAGCGCTTCTTTAACGTCACTAGCTTGACGAATGTCCTCCTTTGGTTCAAAATTTTTGGAGATAGAGAATCTCCTTGCTTTTTTCAATCGGGCCGCCATGGTAGAGTTTAAGTTGGTGGCCGTTGACTTTAAAGGGACCCCCATTAGCATCTTCAATCTCAACGGTTCCGTAGGGGTAAGCCTTTATGACCTTGAACGGTCCGGACCATCTTGACTTGAGCTTTCCTGGAAAGAGCTTCAACCGGGAGTTGAATAACAGCACTTTATCTCCAG